TGAAGAGGAAAGGTTGGGCATGAGGCTAGCAACCCCATCCTGTAAAATAAACACTGGTACAGTAACTTCAAGCCACAAGCTTGAAGCCCTATGTTCCACTAAGGAATGTGAAGGAAGAAAAAACTAAGTTTGTAGCTGTTGGTTCTTAGCATCCCCTAGGTCCTCGACTATGTATTAGTCAAACCTTCCCTACTTGACTCAAATCACTATTCACTAGCGACTTCATGGGCTGACGCTATGTTTTGGTTTGACCACACCCCTAACTAACTAACTCTTTTCCAATCTAACCCAATGTCAGTTAACACTGCCTATCGAGGCAGAAGATGGTTTGGCATGAGCGAAACGTGTCCTGGCAGCTATCTGAATCGATGGGGTTATAAAGCCACATTGATTGTGATTTATCCTCCCAGCTTGACACTACACGCCTAACTTTAGTATTGTTCAACACATACTATACCATTTAGTACGGGAAATAAAACGCAAACACATCCGTGTGGTTAAAGACAGCTAGCTCTTTTATATCTTTCACCTTTAATAGCTATGTGTCAAAGCCATAAAGGAGGATAGAGTGAACTTCCGCGCAATACACACCTTCCTTTATTGACAGCCAGATATCACATCCTCGCCAGAGATGGAGTAATTTGCTAAATGCTACACCAGCCTTTGTATCCGTACTGAGATTTCGTCATCAGCTAATCCACTAGTGCTGATGCAACTTCACAAATGAGTGAAGTCGTCAACGCACTCTGCTGCTACTTCACTCGTCATCTTTAAACCAGGAAGAGGTGTAGTCCAGTTAGTCAGCATTATCTTCCATTTAACATGAGAGATTCGCATGCGAGACACTCGAAGATGTTCAGAAGACTGTACATCATCAGCTTTTTTCATCTAGGAGGACAATATCAACGAGTCAATTCCATTAGCACACCTATGGTGAAGTTAAACAAAAATAGAGACAGTGAGCATCTCTGGAGCACAGTAATGGGCGTTACTACCTCAGATGACAACTCTTCGTGATCTCCTACACGAATAACGTGAGTTCGAGTGCCTTGATTGAGGACACTATAATTTCCCAACACTCTCATCAACCTCAAACATTGCCACAGCATCCCATGAGTTAGACATATTGTTTGAAAAGGTAACGATACTACCACTACTCACTTGCCCAGCCTAAAGTAAGATTGACTGGAATTTGAACTAAAGGACCAATTTGCTGAAAGTCAACTGCTTTTGTCAAAGAGAGCCATATGGCTTCAGTGCTGAATAATGAAGTATTATTATGAGAACAGCATTTCATGCATTTTAGAATATGACACGCAAGTGACACCAAACTATTCGAACTTAACAATTACTTCACTGATGCACTTTCGTGTTCGCTTGAATGACTTTCGCTGCATAATTGATCACACATAATCGTTTTTTTTCTTTCTTAAAAGTCACACAACTTTATAAGTTCATTTTTATTCCCACATTTTATGTTCAGTTCTACGTCTCCGATGTAGTAATTAAGGTTTCTTTCCGTACAGTTAAGTTAGTATCTTAATTCCTACTAGTTTATTGCAATCCGAAGCACTATTCGCACTTCTCATTGACTTAGAATAGGCGGATGATATAGTCTTCCTTAACTTTCTGAGAGACGGTCACAAAGCAACACAGAATAACCTTCAGCAAGGAAACAACCAATCAGAAGATGATGATTCTCCGCTGACAATGGTGGACATAAAAATCTTCTGGCCTTTGAGAGCAGAAGACATGAAAAGATTAGCTGTCTTCGATCATAGGTGTCTGCGTTCTATCTCCCGCGTGAAGTGGTATAATAAGGTGAGCAATATTGAGGTTAGGCATCGGCCGAGTGCTAGGTAAGGCGAGGAAATCAGTCGACGAGACTGTGAAATTACATCGAATGAGATGGTTGGGACATGTGTTACGTATGCCTAGTCATGGCCTTCCTCGACCAACGGGCAATGTCAGCTGATATAGGGTCAGACTGGAAAAGAGCTAGCGGCGGTCAAACGAAAACATGGCACCAGTCAATGAAATCCACAACAGTTAATCTGAGCCACGTAGGAAGGTGTAGACTTCCTGGTTGGAGTCCTCGGGACGGTAAAAACCAATGGTTGGAAACAATTGGTGACATGGCTCAAAATCGTTCTCAGTGGCGCAGATGCATCCACTTCTTGTGACTTATGATTTCCAATGAAACTGTTTTGTTCTTCGTTATGACTATTCCTTTGTCTCACACCTCTGTTTAATGTCTATATTATGCATTTCTTCTACCTTCTTCTCTTGCTTTGTGTGCTACATGGAGTGTGGCGACTTGAACTGCCGCACATATGTGCAAAGTTCTATGTCGAAAACCGACCGACCGACATAAAAATCTATGAATATCACTTGGTTTTCGCAATAAACAATCTGCTGTCTAGCCTTTGTCTTCTGTCGTTACACATGTGTTACGTATGGCCTAGACATTCATCTCCCTCATCGAAAATAGGCAATGTTAGCTGACTGACATAGGATGGTTCAGGCTGTAAAACAGCTAGCAAGTGGTGGTCAAACCAAAACATGGCTTCATCAGACAGTGAAATCCACAACAGTTAGTTCAAGCCAGCCAGCCATGTAGGTAGGTGTAGACTGTCAGTGTGGTTGGGGTCCTCGGGATGCTAAGAACCAAACTTTTGAAGGTTGGAGACAATAGGTGAAATGGCTAAAAATCCTCGTTGTCAAAGTCTAGCGCAGATGCATTCACTCTTTGTGATTTTTCATATCTAATAAAGATTTATTGTTCTTTTATACAACCACTATTTTTCGCAATCACTTCTGTTTATTATCCCTTTTTACGCCCTTATTTTGCTTTGTTTGCTGCCAGGATGGAGTGTGGAAAGTTGAACTGCTGCAAGTCTTTGAAAAGTTCTATGTTGAAACCTGTCAGTCAGTTTATTGTAAAACTGTGTCATTTAGTAAGTATTAGCGATCCATGAGCCTCATATCTGACAACTTACTCAAAAAAGTATATGTATATACATGTGGTTGTTGAATGGTATATCAACCACAAATATAATGTGAAAGTATTATGGCGGAGTTGAACTTCAGACAACCGACAGCGGCGGACGACGCACCAGTGACCTTAAGGTGGTCAATCAGAGTAAGGCAGTGAAATCAGGCAAATGAACACTATATTATTGGTGGAAAAAATTGCTGATACATTTATGTGAAGACATCAAACAGGTTAGTTTCAGGTAAAGTGTTTAGGAGGCTAAGTACAGGTTAGGGTTACATTAAACAAATAATTAGGGAGATATTCGGGTTAGGGTGTAGGTTCGTGTCTCTTGGGTGTCTACAGACGAACTTTGCCAGTATTATATTTTTCAAATCTTTGGTCATTGATTCATACAAGAATAAGTCGGGTTAATATGTCAAAACTCTACGATTAAACAACTCCTAGGTAAAGTTAAAAGAACATGTTCAAAGTCAAAATAACAATGAAGACCACTAAACCAAATAGCAGAGGTAATAGTACATCTGCTATGGTATATGTCGCACATTGAGAATTTATCGGAGGATTTAATCGAAAATGTGCCACTTTATAGGAGGTATGTAGATGATATTGTAATCATCAGTGATAAGTCTTGTTCTGCCACCTCAATTTTAAATCGAATAAATGAAGTTCAGAATAGCATATCATTTACATCTGTAGAAGAGGAAGATAACTGTTTATCTTTCCTAGACATATTGCTTAGTCGACGGTTTGATGGGTCAGTAAAAACATCTATTTGTACAAAACCTACCTGGACAGGACAGTATCATAATTAACACAGTTTCTACCCTGTTCGGTAGTACATAAGAGCCTTAGTAAGATGCCTCTTCAATAGAATCCAACGAATATGCACTGAAGACACACTCGATGAGGAAGAAAGAAACTTGACACAAACTCTGGTTGATAAACAGTTATCCAGACAAGTTCATCAGGAGACCCACTCTACAACTCGCCTCTAAGAAAGATGTGTACATAGCAGCTTGATAACTAGACAAAGACTGAACGCTGCTGTTAAAAAGACTTTTTATGCAGCTAATATCATAATAATTGAGAATGTGAAGCCAATATATCAAGCTAAGCCCTTTGAACATGCGAAAAATGATGTCACATCCCACTGTATTTACCAATTTGAATATACGTGTGAACACACATACACAGAAGGGAGGACTCATCGATCTCTGCAAGTAAGGGCTGCCTTCACGCCATATTCCTAAATGGCTCCAGAAACAAATAGAATCTTCAGAACGCATTAATGGTGAGAACAGGAGACCTAGCTCCTCTATTGCAAAACATATTATAGTGAGAGGACATAAAATTGACGTTAACAGATCTTTTAAACCTATCTATCTATAAAACGTGTTTGAGGCGTATCCTAAAGATTAAATAGTTGCTTTGATTCAGTAAGAAGTAAACAGTTGGTCCGTATATGTTTAAAAAATGACATTTTTGCCTACTGATTCAGCATTGGAATTGGTAAATCACGTGATTTTGTACACTTGAAAGACAATAAACAGGATTTCTTAATTCAAGAAGTTAGCAACTCTGACAAGCAAACATGACTGAAAGCAAACGACATTTTGCTAGGCCATCGAAATACACTAGAATGTGTCAAAATACTAGTTCAAACATAATCCGACGAGTTTCCAAACCCGATGGGTGAGCACTGACGATGAGTCCCGAACTAGAATGAAACAGTTGCCCAGTACTCACTTCCTTCAGGCTTTCAATGGTTGGTTATCTAGCTGATATCAATCCGTGATCCCACTTGAAATAGTCCTATGTCTTTGTAATGGCTTAAGAACACATCTTATAGAGTCAGTAACTAACTGTCAGAAAACGATCAATAAGTATTAGTAACACACTTGTATGCTTAATGCGAATAAACACAACTCAGAAATCATTTTAGCCAAGTAAAAAACAAAAACAGATGCATATACCAAAACCAATTTTTTTCATATAAACTCACCTAGATAAATTTCGCCAAAAGATCCACTACCAATTTTACGACCAAGGCGATATTTATTGCCAACACGTAATTCCATTAGCTATAAAATAATGAAGTAGACATTCTTATTAATACATCGAGTAACATATAACGCTGACAAAAATTTGAGGAACTATCAGTCTGTTATTATTATTATTTAACTAGTGTTAACTGGAGACAAGACTGCCTACTATCACTGATGATATTGCTGATCGTGGTGGACTGGATCATGACACAGAACGTGGGGGGGGCGCGAGGAGTGGCATACTTCGGACCAACGAAGAGACACTGAAAGATATGCATTTCGTAGATGATTTATGTCTAGTGTCACACAAACTCGAAGATCTACAGGCGAAAACCAACAAACTGGTAGAAACGGAGATGTAGACAGGACTCCAAGTGAATATACAGGACAACACACAGGGGTAAAAAAAATACCAAACCAACAACAACAAGTATCAATCACTACTGACGAGGAAAGTCTAAAGAAAGTCACCTATCTGATTTATCTAGACAGCATCTTCTCAACAGCAGGCGTCACAGATGTCGGAGCCGATAAACATAGGAGAAGCAAGACAGACCTTCCAACATTAATGTCACACCATTTAATGCTTCTACAAGATTCCGAGATTTTGCTGGGTGCGCCACGTAAATAAAGTATCTCCAAAAGACTGCATACTTTCATCCCTAGCTCGAAGATGAAGATCAGATGGCCGACTAGAAAGGAAAAGCAACAAGGAATTTAGACAGACAACGAACCAACCAAGAACCTTCTGACCAACAAATATGCCGAAGAAAATGGAGATGAATCGAGTACACGCTGAGGAGACCACCGAGTAACATCACGCGCCAGGCCCTAGGGCAACAAGGAGGAGGAAATGAAAGCTTATGGGCTACCGTGCAACCAGATAAAAAGACTGTAGGGAACAGAGCACAACGGAAATATACTGTTGAAGCCCTATGCTTAGCTCGGAACTGAAGGGAATAATAATAATAATAACTGTTGAAAATTCGTTATTTACTTGATGCCAATTTAGCTGTTATTATTATAAATCAATAAAGGATTCAGAAAATTTTAGAAATGACAATGTATGGATTCATTTAGAAGGTTAGGTCTAAAGTCTTTTAACTACATCTTATGCAACAGTTAGGACACCTGCATGACAAGTTTTGCAGATACCCATTTTCATAAGGAGTTGAAGCGATTTATTTTAATGTTGAATGACTTTTGACCAAAATTCCAACAGTGTAAGTCAGATGATCATAATGCAACAATGGTTATATTACAGTCAGTTACCACCTACAAAATTTATTTATTCTCGCAAAGTTTTATTAACCGGTTTTGACGTTCACACTTTTTAAAATATAGTCGATGGCCTAGATTAAAGTTCAGTTTCTTACATGTGTAGCATGAAGTGTTACTTCCTACAAATATTTAAAGCTAAATGTAACGTGTTTGACATTAATAGACAAAAGTAACTTGTTAGAGTTCCGATTTACGTGCCTCACAATTGTATTGTAACCTGTCAACTGCTTTATCATCACTAAATAAAAGTCTAACTGTATATGATTATGAAGGGAATTGGGAGTACACAGGACATTATTAATGTTCCCAGTTACTGGGTTGATGATGTTAACTAGTAGAGGAATAAAGACGAATAACACCGTTAATCTTCAGACATTGAGTTGCTAAACATTGTCATTTCAGCGAGATTAGGGCCGATCAGAGCAGAAGGAAATAAAAAGCTGTGAAGCTTTGTAAACCCCATCATCAACACTCAGACTGACTAACAAAGTGATGGTACCATATTTGGACTAAACAGGCGTCTACTGTTATGGTTATCGATATACTTTTATAAATCCCATATAACAGTTCTTCATCAGCAGTCGTACAACCACCCAGAAAAACGCGAACTTTCTGGCTGATTTTAGGACTTTATCAACAAGAGTCGCAGCCGATAGCTGCTACTTCGACTTGATGGTTACGCTAGCGTATTGATATGGACTATGCTGACTGGAATGAATGTTGTTCCATGTCCTACCATACCAGAAAAGTAAGATAGATTACTCTTTGGACTGTGATGGTGCAAAACTAATCACTTCACTGCTCCTTTGCTTCAAGAGAAATTTGACTCTTACATTGTGGGCAGACAGGAAATACTGACTGCCTGGAACGGGTCCTTGAGACACTGACGACCATTCCGCACAACCTTTCTTCATCTATTATTAACTCTGCGGCTTAAATCAAGAAAGCACCGTTACCAGTTTTTCAAAATTACGCTGCTAACTGACTTATCATTACAGCTTTCCACGCGCGAATGCTATATCGAATCGAAAAACACACTAGCTAGAAATTCGGCATTTTATGCCTGAATGTATGTTGTATCTTTGAAATACATAAAGGTGACTGAATTGTGACTGGCCAATTTGAAAAATCTACGAAATTCAAATTAAGGAGGACATCAGATTCTAAGAGTAGTCCTTATGATTTTGCTGGTGTAAACATGGTATTAAGTTCTGGAGAAAACTACCTGATTAAACGGATTCCAATGAACAATCTTATTTCTGTGTGGTGTGAACATTTTCATAAACGTTTAGCATTTATATTATACACTATTCACATCTTTCATTTTTGTTTAAACCAGATTCTATACTGGAATTATAAAACGAATAAAGCCCCTATTGCGGGCCCTCAATATTCTCACTTGATCGGTGAATGTTTGATTAACTCATAAACACTACAATTTATTCGTTTTATTATGGACAAGATATTACGTCCTGAACGCTTTGATGCTGATTCCAATTGCCAAACATCTTCGAAGATTTGGAATCATTGGTTTCGTACATTCAATACTTTTATCACTAAATCTTCAACTCCAGATTCAGACAAACTTGATGTTCTCATCAACTATATCTCACCTACTGTATATGAATACATTGCTGAATGTAAAACATTTGACGGCGCTCTTAGTACTCTTGAGAAACTGTATGTCAAACCAAAGAACGAGATTTTTGCTCGACATCTATTATCCACATGCAAACAAGAAACTGGACAGAGCCTCGACCAATTTTTACAAAAACTGAAATCTCTGGCAAAAGATTGTTCATTCAAACCTGTCTCGGCTGAACAAAATCAGAATGATGCAATACGTGACGCATTCATAAGTGGAATGCAATCTAATAATATACGACAACGTCTTCTGGAAAACAAATTACTTGATCTTGATACTGCTTATGAACAAGCTCGATCCCTAGAAATGGCTTATCAACAATCACATTCGTTTCATCCTTCCGAATTCTCCAATTCTGCTGCAATATCAAACAGTGATACATCAAATGAACTAAACTCTTATGGGGGTGAAGCAGGATTGACTGCTTCAATAAATGAGAAATGCTACTTCTGTGGATTTACTAGACATCCTCGCTCTAAATGTCCTGCAAGGGATGCAGTATGCAAACTCTGTGGTAAGAAGGGGCATTATCAGAAGGTCTGCCGGTCAAAATCGTACACCAAAACTACATCAGTTACTAGTTCTTTGTTGTCTTCCATGACTCTAGCCGCCGCTCCACAGTCTCTCTCCAATAAGGTTGTGCAGCTTTTTGTAAATGACATTCCCCTACAAGCCCTCGTAGATACTGGGAGCTCAGACAGTTATATTTCTTGTGCAGTCGTTCAAAAACAACATATAAAGGTAGAGCATTCTCGCACTTCAATCACAATGGCTTCCACAAGTCTGACAACTCATACTCATGGTCACTGTTATGTAAATCTACGTTATAAAGACTCGAGTTACTCACATATCAAACTTTCAGTGTTGCCAAATCTGTGTGCTGATGTGCTATTAGGTCATGATTTTTTACGCTTGCATAATAAACTCGAAATTCCATTTGAAGGTAAAAACAATCCATTTTCACTGTGTAATCTTGTTGCTGCACATATTGATCCACCTCCCTTGTTTCATAACCTAACACCCAAATGTGTTCCGATCGCTACAAAATCACGAAGACATTCCACTTCAGATGAACATTTCATCAAGCTGGAAATCGAAAATTTACTCAGTGAGCAGATCATCGAGCCATCTAACTCCCCTTGGCGCGCTCAAGTTTTGGTCACTACTAATGAACGCCACAAGCGTAGAATGGTGATTGATTACAGCCAAACGATAAATCGTTTCACATTATTGGATGCCTATCCACTCCCAAAAATTGATGAGATGATTGAAAAGATTTCAAAATATACTGTATTTAGCACTTTGGATTTAAATAGTGCTTACCATCAAATACCCATCAAAGAAGAAGAGAAACTCTTCACAGCTTTTGAAGCTTGCGGCAACCTCTATCAGTTCCGTCGTATTCCCTTTGGTGTCACAAACGGTGTTTCGTGTTTTCAGAGAGTTATCAGTCAGATTATCAGAAATGAAAATCTTCAAGCTACATTTGCTTATTTAGATAATATAACTATTTGTGGTGAAAACACAGAACAACATGCAAAAAATCTTGCCCGGTTCTATGAAGCATCCAGAAAATATGGGCTAACATTCAATGAGAATAAAAGTGTCATTGGCGTTAAACAAGTAAAACTTCTAGGCTATCAAGTTTCTCATAAAATGATCAAACCTGATCCCGATAGACTTCAAGCATTATGGAATTTATCACCTCCACGAGATCTTAAATCCCAACAGCGAGTCATTGGTCTCTTTGCGTATTATTCACAATGGATATCTCATTTCTCCGATAAAATTCAACCCCTTATACAAAATAAAATCTTTCCATTACCAGGTACTATTGTAAGCTCATATGCAGCATTAAAAAATGAACTTGCTCAATCTGTGATGACTACTGTGGATCTCGACTTGCCCCTTATAGTTGAAACCGACGCTTCGGATACTGCTATAGCTGCCACGTTAACACAAAATGGTAGACCCGTTGCATTTTTTTCCAGAACACTATCACCAAGTGAACGGCATCACTCAGCGGTGGAGAAAGAAGCTTATGCCATCGTCGAAGCTATTAGAAAATGGCGTCATTATTTACTTGGTACTCATTTCCAACTCATTACAGACCAACGATCAGTTTCTTTCATGTACGATATGAACCACCATGGGAAAATAAAGAATGACAAGATTCAGCGTTGGCGAATAGAACTTTCTTGTTACAGTTTTGATATAATCTACCGTTGTGGCAAAGAAAACAAAGTCGCCGATGCATTATCTCGCGGATATTCTGCTTCTGTAATGGGTGAAACTAATCTGAAAGACCTACATAACTCTCTGTGCCATCCAGGAGTTGTTCGCCTTCTTCACTTTGTGCGTTCTAAGAACCTACCTTTTTCTGTTGATGATGTGAAGAGGACGATATCTAGTTGTGCAGTTTGTGCTCAGCTGAAACCCAGGTTTTGCAAAGTATCCACAGGAAATCTTATTAAAGCGACTTCTCCTTTTGAACGTCTAAATATTGATTTCAAAGGACCTCTTCCTTCAAACTCCCGGAACAAATATCTTCTTACGATAATTGATGAGTACTCTAGATTTCCGTTCGCTTTTCCTTGTCAGGATATGACAGCATCAACTATTATTAATTGCCTGTGCCAGTTGTTTTCCCTGTTTGGTATGCCATCCTACATGCATTCAGACAGAGGATCGTCGTTTATGTCTGCAGAATTAAAACATTTTCTCCACGATAAAGGAATAGTTACCAGTAGAACAACAGCATACAACCCCCAATCAAATGGACAGATTGAACGTCTCAACGGCACTCTCTGGCGATGTATATCACTAGCTGCTAAGTCTAGGTCCATACCAATCTGTGAGTGGGAGGTTGTTCTCTCCGACGCTCTTCATTCTATCCGTTCTCTTTTATGTACTGCCACAAATACTACTCCACACGAACGGATGTTCAGGTACAATCGAAAATCAACGTCTGGTGTTTCTCTTCCCAGTTGGTTAACTATTCCTGGACCGGTCTTGATGCGCCGTAATGTACGTTCTAAATATGAATCTCCAGTTGATGAAGTTGAACTGATTGAATGTAATCCCAAGTATGCCCATGTGAGACTTCCAGATGGACGTGAGGAAACAGTATCTATTCATCATCTTGCACCAAAAGAACATATATTTCAATCGCCCGTTAGCATGCCGATTCCAGACGCAGTACCAGAATGCCTCCAAAATCAACTTACTGAAGACGACATATCCACCCGTTCTACAGATACTGAAACTCCTATTTTGACGGACAATTTAAGTGAAAATGTCAAAATTGATCCGAACCCATCTTCTTTACTAGAGAAACAACGAAGGGTTCGTCCATACAATCTGAGAAGCCGCGAAGTCTAAACAATTTTAAAAGTCTTGACTCCTTATGCTCTGTATTCTCAAACAAAAGGGGAGAAGAATGTGGTGTGAACATTTTCATAAACGTTTAGCATTTATATTATACACTATTCACATCTTTCATTTTTGTTTAAACCAGATTCTATACTGGAATTATAAAACGAATAAAGCCTTTATTGCGGGCCCTCAATATTCTCACTTGATCGGTGAATGTTTGATTAACTCATAAACACTACATTCTGCTATCTGGGTGAATAAACCCTTAAGAATAAGGAAAGATCGTGAAACTTGTCGATGCCTCTTCCATAAACTCTGCTTACGCAACCAGAAACAGCAGCTTAGATGAAGTGAAGGATGAATCATATCAGGAGCTACCACATTCGCAGCGAAAACCAAACCACCCAAGTATGATTATATTAAAAGGCGATTTCAATGCTAAACCAGTCAGAAAGTTATAGGGGCCTTTTTGTGGTGTCCCATGTTGCCCTATGCTGAAAATGATGCACAGTGAAAAAATACCCTTTTGTATCAGTGCTGAGATTTTCGTCAGTAATCAATCCATTAGAACTGATGTGAATTCCCAAATAAGTGAAATTGTTAACACGTTTTACACTTCACTCCTTGTCCTCAAAACAAGTCTCTGCAGGCCAGTCCACTGGCATCATCATCTTGCATTTGACAGAAGCGGCTCGTATGCTAACAATTTCTGCTCAAGGTGTTAAGAAGACTGCATTTTGTCAGCGTGTCCACCTAGGAGGACAATATCATCTGTAGTCTCCAAGTCGACGAGACTGCCTCCTGATAACACGTAATCCATGACGCATAGAATTCCGCCAGGATCAACTCCATCAATAGACTTATAATGAAACTAAATCAAAACGGTGACACTGAGCTTCCTTGATGTAGTACACTGGTTGCTTTCACTTTGAATGACTACTCTCCATAGGTCGCAACACCTTCAATTTGGAACAAGGAATACCAGGAGAAACTAACCGACTGAGTTAAGAAGTGTTTGAAGATAGTTTCGATTACTAGATTGACTATAGTTATTAGTTATTTAAGATATGAATCTCACACAGTACAAGCACCTAGAGATGAGCCACGTAAAGTAATAAAATACACGACATAAAATAGCTGAGGAGTAGAATAGAAACCAATTTGCATGCTCACCGGGAGCATTCAAAAGCATGTTCATTACTTCCTACTACTCCCAGGAAGAAAAGAAAAATTACACTTCACGACTTCAATTCTGAGAAATATGTGAGATCACGAGGTACTGTCGTATGATGGCGGGGATCCTACCCAAACAGTCGTGATGCACCAACCAAACGAAACTCTCTCCCATCCCACGGTGCTATTTCATGGGTCGGTCGTTCTCAATGCCGCAGATGCCTCCACTCTTTGTGATCTCTAATATCCACTAAAACCATCACGATTATCCAAGTTACTATTCTTCTCTCTCCCTCACATTTGTGCTTATTACCGTTCTTTTGAACCTTATTCTCTGGTCTTCCTTTGTGTGCGGCATGGAATATACCGACTTGAACTGCTGTACTTCTGTGCAAAGTTCTATGATGAAACTAGTCATCAGTTATAGACGGATCATTACAATCTTATCGATCTAAGCCAGTGTTTTCAAACAACGAATGATAAGAAAGCCGTTAGGGTAACAGTGGTAACATATACGCAAGCCATCATCCCAGGATGACATCGAAAGATGGAATGCGCCATGTCTAGTCGCATGACGTCGAACCACAGGACTATTAACACGGTGACGCCATTTTATCCAAAATATTCTAAGGAGATAGATGGTAAAACACATGGAGTAGCCATACACCTTCGGTTCGGAAGCCAAGTTTCACAGAAGCCAGAAGTATGGGGACAAAACCAATACTGTAAGTGTTAGAGGTTACTATGAATAAATGAATTTAAAAATACCACTCAGCACAGCTGTGGAGCATTTCAAGTCACCACACCATATCCCACACAAAAGTAAACAAAGGAGAAAGAAAAGATTCAAAAGAACTACAATAAGCAGAAATTTCATCTCACACCGCTAGCAAATACATCCATTTAAATACTTCTAACAGCTTACATGGATGAGTATGGGTACATATCTCTGCTAATCTTGTAACATTACTTGGCATTTGAATACTGCAAAACACATACTATACTTCCAGTGACTAACTGTCAATAAATTAAACGCAATTTGGACAGTATAGGCAAACGATATCGTTTACATCCTCAAAGTTGATAGTCTTCATGTAGCAGATCTAAACCACCGGTATATATCGTTCACAGCTGTTTTCGGGATGTCGTCAGTAGCAGAGATAAGGACAAATAGCAAATTTAGGCAACTGTGACTGAAACCTTACAAGTACCTTTAGAAAGAACGATGTTATGTTACCTAACATCGCTTTTGAACCTCGGCATTGTTAATCAAGTCAGTTTCGAGAGATGGCGGAGTACTCCAACCAACACTATTGAACAATGGTGCTGTAGACCTGCTAAACTTTTCCAAAGCGATATTTCCACTGTTTCAGGAGACTACAGACTAGTGGTCAGCGTGCTGTCTGTCTCTCGGACTGTGTCCCTGACATCGTGCTTCCGGCCGCCAGTGGTTTGGAGGTGCAAAAGCAGTCTGCAACTACTGTCATATGCAATAGCTGCTTGTATCACAAATGTATGTTCTGATCAGGATTAACCAAGTAGTCACATTGTTTCACTCCCTAGCCATCGGAATTAATGAAAGGGTATGTAAAAGTGGTAATCGTCTAAGCCACAAGCAACCTAACACCTTTGTGGCTTTTTGTAGTTCCATCCAGTGTTCATTCATATTTCTTGAAGGCTCAGTAGCTATCCTCGTGTAGTAATTGGTTTGTGAAAATCTGATGTAGTCCTATCCAACTGTTGAACATCGGTATTCACCCTAGTTTATGAGGAAAGGAACAAATCTCGTCGTTATAACCTCATGAGATTCAGGTTGACTTATATAGTATCTAAGGCTACTTCTTGTGGTGAAAGGAAGACTAGGCAGGAAACAATAGTATTGTCGAGAACACTCAGATCCAGACCTGGATAAGGAAGCTACTAGCTTGTTCCTACCATAGTCACGGAAGCACCGAAGCGTTCGAAGATAAGGTGCAAAGTGATAGTGTCCACCAACTACTCCGTTTGGAAAGTTCCGTTAATTGGAATGAACCGGTTGCTAACGAAATCTCAGCACAAAATTAACTTACAGTATTTACACAAGCGTGTCATTTAGGCACCCATTAAAAAAAGAAAAGTTTGTCCATCGTGCGGCAGTCTGTTATGAAATATGACCGGTAAAGGTGAGATATATCAAAAGACTGAGGGTTTCCGTCCATAGGAGCATATTTTATAAGCATACACCGTAATTCCAATCAAGAGAAATGTAGTTACTTTGCAACCAAGCCGTACATGTTACAAAAACTTCATGTTACATACATGGTAATTCCAATAAATAGTTTGCTCAAAAACACCATGACGGTGGTAAGACGAGTGAAAATCTACTGAAATTTTCCAGTCCTCATTAATAAGGTACCGCATATGAACGGCAAAACCTAACTTTCTCAGGCATTGTAAATTCAGTCACCAAAACAAATATTCATTTAACTGTGTATCCGGGACGTCAGCTTTAATCGGATTAATGTAGTGTGGAGACAACACAGTATCAATACTGACCAAGTTTCACTGAATGCCGGAAAAAATGCCCGCAAGTCTTGAAATAACGCTTTTCAAACTGAGTGAACTCTAAAACGACCCTGAATTGACTTCTATGAAGTCAACGACTCCAAACGGAGCTATAGCAGATATTACACCACGCGTTTTCATTGCTCAGTTGACCGTTTCAAGTACCTGCCATTACAGTGACAGCAACTACAGCCTTAAATATCTCAGCGACTTATGTTTCTAAGTATAACAGAAATTTAGCAGCACACTATAACACATTACTTCGGTAAAAATATGTCCGTGAAGTGGAAGGAAACCTACTCACTAAGATTCCCATTTACATGATTTTATTAGTGCAAGAGAAGAAATTTTCTGTTAATTACAGCATTGACGTCAAATTCGTTCATAAAATACTTAAGAGAAAACTGATCTTCGACGTACCGAACAACCCAGTCAAAAAGACCGCCAGCCTTGTGGAGGAGTAAAAACAATCACCAACACAAGTTCCAGAAACTTGAAATTCCAAGCTCTTAACATGAAAGACCCAAACATCATCATGTCTCTCTGTCAATAAAACCTTCATTGTTTCTCCATTAACCCAAAATTTCATAAACTTCAGAGTATGTAATCCAAAGAAATTGACCTGAATTTTGAGCGGGTGATTCTGGGAGAACGCACTATTGCTATTGAGTGAGGCTATGTTCCATGATAAGGTGTTTTCGCGCATTGCATGGGTTATCGCGTTCACGCCTAAA